CAAAGCAGCTTTTCAACAAGGAGGCTGACTGCTCCGCAAGAGTTCTGAAGAAGAGCGCAGCGGTGACAAGGGTGAGGGCGCCCACCAGGCGAGTGCCCCTGCTCAGAATGCTCCCTCTGCCCCCACCAGCAAGATCTGAAGAGGGGACCGGGAAGAGTAACAGCCTGCTGTCAGCTTATACTTCTCAGTGAGGCAGGGAGAAGAGGAAGAACTCCGGGCCACTTCTTGCGGGCCTGGTTTCCAGCCTTCCCAAGGGTCAGAATTCCACATTAAAAAAAAAAATTAACTAAGTTATAAAAATATACTCCGTCCCCAGCAAAGACACCCATGCATAACTGTGTCTGTCTGTCCCACCTGTCACCAAACTCAGTCTACCATCACCCTTCACGGCACATCCCCTAGCCTTTTGTATGCGTTTCTGTGTGATTGGTGAGTGTGTGTATGTGTGTGTGATTGGGGTGTGTGACTGGTGTGTGTGTGTGTGTGTGTGTGTGTTTCCCAAACACGAACAGTGTACTGGATTGAAAAGCACACATCTAGGAGGGGGCTTAAAACGTTTAACAAAAAACTCCACTGCCTTTTCATTCCATTTGTCCACGAGGTTTTTAAAATCCCCGCTTCAATCCCGCGGGAAGCTGGACAAAGGAGTTTCAGAAGCCCCCAGTGCTTTCACGTGGGACCAGACGGCAGCCTGGATTACAACATAGGGGTGGACGCGGCGGCTGCTCAGGCCCAAGAGGGGGCCCGGTATTATTCCCTGAGCACCTGACTTCTGGGACGCAGGTCCAGGACTCCTACCAAGATGGCCACGTTCTAAAAGGGCCCAAGGAATTTCTGAATGAGCCATGCTTGGAAGACGGTGAGGCTCCAGACCACAAACTTTCAGGAACCAGCTCACCCAGTCTTCACTGATCATTAGTTAGCATGGCGATCATCTCCCCAAATCTCCCATCCCCACAGCAATATCTTTGCTTAAATTACTTCTCAAGCAATGCACCCCAGGTTCCACTGAATTCCTGTGGTCTCCAGAAACTCTCAGGGCCAGGGCTGCAGATGAACCTGTGTCTTCTTCATATGATTGCCTCAGCTTAAATCTCACACTCCTGCCCACCCCACTCTGCAGGCCAGGAATCTAACCTCCGCTAGCCTGCCTTCGGGCATGACCGGGTGCTTAGCAGGCGTCAGCCCGGGAAGGTTACCACCATCTAACTGGCTTCTCCGCACCACACTGACTAGACCAATACCAGTCCAAGAATCCGGAGCAGCTCTCTGGCACTGACTGAAGAGCTGCTTCTCACCTTAGGAAGATCAGGTCTTTCCCAAAGGGGCAGATGAGCTAATGGAACAATTGGGGGCCCGTCAAAACAAAAACCTACTGCCATTAAGTTAATTCCCAACTCACAGTGACCTCTAAGCCAGGCCAGGAACTCTTTAAAGGAGCATTTAGTCTCTTCCTCTTCCACGGGACGACTGGTGCATGTAAGCTGCTGCCACCCACCTATCTGTTCCTTGTCTCTCTCCCTCGACCTGCAGCCCTGGGAACGGTGAAAAACCTGCCGGGGTCACTTAATAGAGTATCCAGAGTCAGGGTTTCAGAATAAACCATAAAAGAAAGCACAGGTGTTTAGAAGTATCTTTCCATTCATGGTGAGAGGAGACAGCTGGAGGGAAGTAATTGCGGAGGGCTCTGCAGACCCTATAACCCTCTAGTAATCCCTCAAAGAAGCAGAAAAAGAGTCATCAAGGTAGTGTCTAACTGCCATGTGGTCAAAGGTGAATTATCTTTAGCCTTTCGGCTCAGTGACTGTGGGACACAGTCTTTAAAAACCTACTAGTCTGGGCTTTGAGAAGAAGCCACAGAATGGCATTGGGAGGAAACCCAATGTCTGAAGGAACCAAGATCCAAATACTTGCCACCAGGAGAGGGTGTCCCTGTCCCTGCCACAGAAGTGACTCGGCGAGAAGGCAAAGAGCTCCCTGACCCGGATCCAACGAAGGAGCTGGCACCTCCAAAGGTAGGCAGACACCCACTCTCCCGATCCCCGATCCGAGGTGGGGCCTGCTCTCTGAGAATCTTTTTTTTCCCTTTTTTTCTTTTTAAGAACAGTAAATCCATCTTGCTCCCAGTCCCTTTGGGAAGAGGAGAGAAAGCCAAGAACCCACCCACTCAGCAAGATACACACTGAGCTTCTTTTGATAGTACAAACAAAGCCCCAGAGAAACGAGGGCTGGGAGGAAAGAGCGGGCAGATCATTCTTTGGTTTGCTCTAGAACCCCTTAGTCAGTTTGGGCTC